CAGCCGGACCCGACGTGCCCCAAGGGGTGGGTGAACGGGGGGTCAGGGGAAGAGAGGCAGGGAGGGGAGCTGCCTTCGGGTAGGAGCAGGGAGAGAGGGCAGCCGCTGCTGCCACTAGAGCCCCAGCACGCTCCCCTCCCCCAGGGAGGTTTGCAGCCCCCAGCTAGACATGAAATGCCCGTAGGGGGCGGAAGAAGCGGGGTCTGGGGAAGAGAGGCAGGGAGGGGAGCTGCCTTCGGGTAGGAGCAGGGAGAGAGGGCAACTGCTGCTGCTAGCTGTAGCCACAGCCCTAGCCTGCTCCTCTCCTCCAAGAAGCTGCATGGGTTTCCCAGCCCAGCAGCTCCCAGCTAGACACAAAATGCCCTTAGTGGGTGGAAGAAGGGGGATCTGGGAAAGAGGCAGGGAGGAGAGCTGCTGTGGGGTAGAGCTAAGTAGAGAAGGCAACCTCTGCTGCTAGCTAGCACCAGCCTTTAGCTGGGTGGGTGAAGGAGGATCTGCCCCCTCCCCCCCATCGGCAGGGCGGACGGCTGCTGTGGGGTAGGGCAGGGAGAGAGGGCAGACGCTGGTCCCAACCCACTCCCCTTCCCCTGAGTGCTGCATAGATTTCCCACCCCAACACCCTGGCTAGACATAATGCCTGTCGGGAGGTGGAAGAAGGGGGATCTGGAGAAGGGAGGCAGGGCAGAGAGCTGCCATGGGGTAGAGTCAGGTGGAGAGGGCAACCACTGCTGCCAGCTGTAACTCTAACTGGTAGGTGGGTGGATGAAGGGGGATCTGCCTCCCCCCCTCCCAGGCAGGGCGGGGAGCTGCTGTTTGGTAGGGGCAAGGAGAGAGGGCAGCCACTGCTGCCACTGTAGCCTCAGTCCTAGCCCACTCCCCTCCTTCAGGAAGTTGCATGGGTTTCCCACCCCAGCGATCCCCAGGTAGACATGAAATGTCCTTAGGTGGGTAGGAGGGGGACTGCCCACCCTGCAAGGCAAGGAAGAGAGCTGCAATGTCTGGGGTAGAGGCAGGGAGAGAGAGCCAACACTGCTGTCAGCTGTAGCCCTAGTCCTAGCTCCTCTGCCCCCCACCCTTCCAGGAAGCTGCATGGATTTGCTGCTCCAGTTGCCCCCAGCTAAACATGGGGCAGAGGGGGATCTCTCCACCCTCCTTCCCCCAGAGGCACTGAGGAGAGCTGCCATGGGGCAGAGGCAGGTAGAGACAGCCAGTGTAGCTCCAGTCCTAGCCTAGGTTGTTAGCACCTAGAGCAACAGTGGGGCAGGGAGGGCAAACACCACTGGCAGCTGTAGCTGCAGCCCTTAGGTGGGCAAAAGAACGTGGATAAGAACTGCCATTGACTGGGCAGACCATAGGTCCACCTTGCCAGTCTCCTGTGGCACACAGGGGCAGCGAATGGATGCTGGAAGGGAGGGTGAAGGGAGAGGGAGCTCCCCCACTTCCCAGGCAGGGAGCAGAACTGTGGTGGGCAGAGAGGGCAAACACCACTGCCAGCCATAGCCCCCCAGCCCTAAGTTGTTATCCCCTAAAGCAGTGGTTTTCTCACTCCAGACTTGAACCTCCTCAGAAAAACGTGAGGTCTGAGCTTTCACTCCTTCTGTTGACTGGGAACACAACAACAATACATTGGTTCCCCCCCCCATAAAAAAAAAAAAAAAAAAAAAGAGTCAGACAGCATCAGGCCAGAATGTTTTGAACCCTGTGGATTCCTGTTGGAAAGTCCCGGGTTTATTTTGGGGCTGGCACACCTAACCATGCTAGCAACCTGTGGTCCCCTGAAAAGGCTGTCTCAGTGGGGCCGTGGCTTCCCCAGTTGCAAATCCTTGATGTAGTGGGATGTGCTCTTCTGACTTAGCGCTGGGGCAGGGTGCCCTACTTGTGCTTCCCAGTCACACTCAGGCAGTGCTCAGGATAGGGCTGCTCTTCGGGTTTATTGGGCTTGGAAACGTTCACGGACAGTCGTTCTGTCCTCTTTGAGTTAGCTTGAGAAAGGGAGAAGCCCAGTCCCTGTCCCCTGCCTTTCATTAGCTGGGGATCTGTGCTGATAAGGCGGCTGCAAAGATGCATGGGTCTCTTGAAACTGCAGCCTGCCTTGTGAATTGCTTTAATTGCACATCTTTGTCATTCTGGAAGTTTTAATAAGACTGTTGGGCAACATAAGGCTGTTAAATGTGAAACTGCTTTCTAGCCTCTCTTCCATCCCACTGTGTTGGGATCTGAGCTTTGTAGCATGAATCTGCAGCATCAGTACTCAGTTTTCTAGTATTTCTGAAGCTGATCCAGTCAGTGCCTTGGTACTTGGTATTAAGAACTGGAGCTCTGTAATAGTTTCAGCTACTCAAAGATCAGTTTGAGGGTATGCTGTTTCTGCAGTTTGGTAAAGCGATACTGCAAAGCCTGGTGTCAAGCTAATAAGTGGAATCCACATTATGGCTAAAAGTGTTTTGCATTTGAACAGTGGGAAATAATGAGGATGATTTCTTGTTTAAAAAAATATCCAACTGGCAGTCAGGGATTGCACATGGCTATGTGTCAAGCTAGCTCTTTAAGGGAAAATTCTGTAGTCAAAACTTTCTGTAGTGGAAGGAGAGGCACTTCCCAAGGGAAAACATAAATATTTGCATTGTCTTCTCTGTGATTTAAAACTAGGAGAGATTTTTTTTATTGGGCAGCTTTGAAAATACAAACGTGACAAGAAAATAAATCCTTTGTAGCAAGAGAAGGAACAGAATCTTTTGGATCATGGTCTTTCTTTCTTTCTGTTTTTTTTTTTGTTTTTTTTTAATGCCATCAAAGAGTTTTAGTTCAGTGATTTGCTACCTCATCAGTTGCAGTGAATGATTTGGAAAGCCCTGGAGGGTTTGTGTGCGCCCAAGTGTTAGTGACAGATTTGGTTCCAGCTCTTCAAGTCATTAAATTTAAATTTAATTGAAGGGAAAACAAGAAATGTTGAGTGAAGGCTTATTTCTCTCTCTTTCTCTCTCTCTCTTTTTTTTTAATAATGAAAAACGTGTGAAGTGGGACTCATTATACTTTTTCTCCCCCCTCCCACCCTTCATTTCTCTATGAAGCTGTTGTGTCGGTCGATGGCAAACCAGTGAGACTTCAGCTCTGTGACACAGCTGGTCAGGTCAGTGAAACTACTTATTTCATTTAAGTGACAAGGGGAAGGGAGAAGTTGTCACATCAAGTAGTCCTTCTAATGACTTCACGGATTTAAAAGGATTCCCAGTGTTTGATCGTCTTATTAAATTGCTGTCACACTAAGTAATTCTTATCCCAGTGCAGTGCATAGGTTCTGCAGCAGGGTTTAGTGAGCATACACTGTGCTTGGCAAATGGATGTTGCCATTGTTGACTCAAATTGCCAGCTAACCTTCCCAGAGAGCTTGACTTTTCAAGTAACTGATTTCAAGATTAGCACTTTCTCCACATTTTCTGTTAGGAGTTTTTGCCAGTGACTTAAACCTATGGGCAGTTGCAGAATAAAAAGTGCTGATATTTCAGATTTATTTACTTTATTTTTTAGTGCTTACAGCAGCTGATGTGCAGTTATAGACAACTAGTTTTGAGGGGGCAAGAGTTAATAAAGCACTAGCTGCTGAATATTGCCTTGATGAGTAGTTTTGCACCATGACTAAATTTGCCCATGTCTGCCGATACATGAGCTGCTATTCCAAACTTGGGGTTTCCTTTAATGCAATCCCTTAATGTTTGAGGAGAGCTAATGCTTTCCCAGGCTTCCAGCTGTCCTTGTCCATGATGGGTTACAGAAACTCATGTTTTTATACTGTATAAGCATTTGGACTGTGTATCCATTCATGCAGTGCGATGCTTCTGAAAGAGCCCAAGCACGCCCAGAAGCAGTGCTAAAAAAGTAGGCAAAATGCATTAACCTGACTAGGAGTGTCAGAACTGGGTATTATAACTAAGTGATGAATCCAGGGAACTAAATTTCATTCTTTGCAATGCCAGCACTTAATTTTGCCCATGCTTCTTGCAAGTCTCTTACCCCCAAATAAAAGATGATGAAGCAGCCTGCTTTGGGTAATAGTATGATGGGGGTGGGGGGAGGGGGAGGAGGTCAGTAAGGATGCCCCTAATTTAATATACTGATGAGTCAAGGGTGGTTTAGAAACGCACTGTCAGCTTCAGCCAAGAGGCTAATTCATGCTCTACTTCTGACAGATATAACTGTAACCATATCCTTGGTGATGGGGCCCCATGGAATGGTTTCAGGAAGACTCAAATCAGTTTTTGCTTTGACTGCTGCTACTAGTTGAAGAGAGTAGGAACCCCTTAATGAAATGCCCATGCTTGTTCAGTTACTGCTTTTAACACACATGGGTTGTGAGAAAGTAAGCAAAATGAGGAAAATCCTTGAGCTTCTTTGTAGAAATCAAGTTCTCATTTCAGCTGTCAAAGCCCTTAAATCAAGTCATGCAAAATTTCATTGCAGCATGGATGGATGTCTCCTCTTAACTGTCCTTTGCACTCTGTAGTCCAGTACACCTCAATAAATATATGGTTTGTTTAAGTCAAGTGGTGAAAATCCCACATTGCTGCCTTGCTTCCTGAGAGGCTTAATCTGAGAATTAAGAGAGCTAATGAAGCTTGCTTGCTTGCCTCTTGTTTTATAAATTGTTGCCTCCCTCTGCATTGCTGCTGCAAGAAATTTATTCAAGTGGAAAGAGACTTCTGAGACTTTCAGGGGGGTTTAAACAACAACATATCTGAGCCTCTTCAGAAGCTTTCAAGGGAAATCTCAAATCTTGACAAATGAACACGGAAGGTGCAATTCAGCAATAAAACGTTGGTCCTGGAGAGACAATCTAGACCGTATTTGCTCTTTGCACTTCTTAAATTAAGACCCTTTGAGAACACAATGAATTTTAATTAAAATGTCACCACAGTTGAGCCAAATCCTACCTGTTTATGCTGCTTGTGTTACTGTGCTTTTATCCTGCTGTCAGCATAAACTCAGGCGCTGCATGCTTAACCCTTGCCTCATTTTACATTCTTTGCTCCCAGGTCTTTGAGCTGCTGTGATGATCAAGAACATCATAAAGGCGAATTCTTTTGTTAGTTTTAGGTGCTTATCTTCCTCATTACAGTTGTTCCTTGAAGCTTTAAAAATAGGGCCTTGTTGAAGTTTTGTTTAAAATAACATAACATTGGAGGCTTGGAAGTGCTTGATGTAGAGAAGTAAAGGAGTACTGCCATTAGCACTGCCATCAGATGAACACACAATAGCAGGGAAATTATTCTAATCTCCTGTAGAATGCTGTTAAACATTCATTTACTTAAACTGCATACAAATGCATGCAGCCATTTTTTCTCCTATGCTATTGCCCATCTTTCAACTTATGAGTGCCAACCTGGGCAGCATTGACATGTTAGGCCTGTTTTAATCCAAATCGATCAGAGACATATTCTCAGTTAAGAGTGAATGTATAATTTTTTTCCTCTCGGCTATCCCTATTTCTCCTGTGTCTTCATTTTAAGTGCTGCAGCCTGCATTCTGTGGTTCAGATCTTCTCCTGAGATAGGACAGCAAGGCATATAGGCAAATGCTGAAGTCGTGCTCAGAGCACTGAAAAGAAAGCAACGGTGGTAGTCAGAAAATCTCAACTGCACTAAAAAGGTACTGCTTAATCCTGAGCACGTGGGAGTGAATAATAAAGTTTCCAGTGACTTCAGTGTTGCAGGCTGAAGTCCAAACTTGTCCTCCTTGTGGCTTCCACTATTAAAACTTCATGTTCCGTTGTACACAAATTATGTTTGTGCCTATATAAAGTCAAGAGCTAAACCTGACCCTTTCCTTATTTATTTGGTGTTTCAAATTTCTGTAGTGAGAAGTTGTTAGGATTAGGTCAGGGTGGTGGTTCCATTAAACTTTTAATGCTATTTTGATTCAGCCTTAATGTTGCTTTGCTTTGTGCAGGATGAATTTGACAAGCTTAGACCCCTGTGCTACACCAACACGGACATCTTCTTACTGTGCTTCAGCGTTGTGAGTCCTTCTTCCTTCCAGAATGTGAGCGAAAAGTGGGTTCCTGAAATTCGATGCCACTGTCCCAAAGCTCCCATCATTCTGGTTGGGACACAGTCAGACCTCCGAGAGGATGTCAAAGTTCTCATTGAACTGGACAAATGCAAAGAAAAGCCTGTGGCAGAGGAGGCTGCAAAGCTTTGTGCTGAGGAGATAAAAGCAGCATCTTATATCGAATGCTCAGCTTTGACTCAGAAAAATCTGAAAGAAGTCTTCGATGCAGCCATTGTCGCTGGCATTCAGTACGCAGATACCCAGCAACAACCAAAGAAATCAAAGTGCAGGACTCCAGACAAAATGAAAAACCTCTCCAAATCCTGGTGGAAAAAGTACTGTTGTTTCGTATAGTAATTTTAAGGACCTGGTGAAATCACACAGAAGCTATATTAGCTGAAGTCTCATTCCATATTTTCCACTTGTATAGCATAGGTACATAAAAGTATGTATATGTTGCTGTTGGAGATCTCAGTTGCCCTTTTGAGGTGGATGGCAGAATGCTTAGGTAGATGTTGCCATGAATGAGGTTAAGGATATTTAGCCCTCACCTCTCTGATGTCTGAGTTTCCAGGGTAATTTCTCATCAAGGAACAAATGCTCTACATATTTGTGAAGTTACAAGCTGTACAAAGAATTTGACCTTTTGTATTATAATGCATACAAAAGAGGGAGGAGCAACAGAGGCCTTTGCTGATTGGGCTGCTTAGAAGAAACAAAGGAATATAGAAACATACAGCTCTATAGATGGACACTTTTTTAAAATAACACTGTGCCTCCTTACTGACATTTTAGCTTTAAAAACCTGCTCCTTCTCTTTCCCCTACCCCATCTCTTCCTGCTCCAACCATATTTAGATTAATGTAAACATTGGATAAGAGATGGACTACTCAAATGCTATTGTTTCAAAGGTTGTGCATATACCTCTAGTACATTGTTAGGAAGTCTAACATGTTTAGCAGTTGACATAATTTTATCTTTATTAGCAGTCTCCTAATTTGGAAATTCTTTATTTCTGTGCCCTCCTCCCCCTCTGCCTCCCTCCATTTGTAAAGTAGATTCCTGATAAACACAAAAAATGGGATAGTAGCAGGTTCCTTTGTATTTATACAGACACTATGATAGTTCATTTATATTAATTGAAAGGAATGCAAATCAGTCTTAAAAAGGATGCAACAAATCTCCATACAGTACCACATAATGTATCTGTTTCAAGGCTGGAAACATGAACTTTGGAATATCCCTCTTTTCCTTGCTGCCAGTTAAATGAAAAGGCAGTTTAATGGTACAACAAACTGGATGCTAGGAAATAGATACTGCTTTGCCCTGATTATGGTGCTGTTCTGAACAAGTGAATGTGTTGTTTCTGTTCAAAGAAAGCAGTTTTTAGAGGCTTGATCTGGTCTGAGACTGCATTCTTAAAATTGGTAGCACCAGCTGGAGAGATTTTACTGATGACTCTTTCCTGGATAACTGCAACAGATTAAAGGGAAGTGTGTCCAGAAGGATGATTTGCCTATTACAGCATCAAATGTGTGACACAAAAATCTGCTGAATTCCAGTCTGCTTAGTCTGAGGATCTGTGGGTTAATTCATTTATTTGCACAATTCAGTATTTAACTCTTAGGCTGGTTTCTAAAAAGGGAATTGGAGACCTTTCGTTTGAATTGTCTGATTTCTTTACAGCCTTAAGTTGCTTTTTTTTTCACTTCAGTACTCAACGATCCGCTCAGGTTCGAGCTTCATTTTTCCTTTTGGGAGTAGCATTAACGTGAACTCATTTTTATCATTTTCAATTAAATTGGAATTTTAAAACAAGTTCTTATTCATCATAACAAAAAGAATGCATGCTATAAGAAACATTGTGGAAGCCATTTGAATTGATAAAGTTGGCTGCAATTAACCTCCTGGCCTACTTAAAGAAAATCATGTTATGTAAATACATTCTGGGATATATTGGCTTAAGTGCCATGATATATATATATATATATATACACACACACACACACACACACACGTTTTTTTCTTTGGTGAGGCAAAATGAGTGCAGAGCACAGTATTCCACAGCTGAAAACTTAGTTCAAAATGAAGTGGATACCTTTACTGAAGTACATGGAGCCTTGTTCAATAAAAATATGTTGGCTTCTTCACTGTAGCAGCCTGGAAAATCAGTCTCCATAGCACAGAAACTGGATGCATTTAACTTGGTTGCATCTGGTCCATAATGGCTAAATTTCACAACCAGTGAACATAACAGTTGAGCCTTTAGATTCCACAGTCTAATGCTATGACATTATCTCAAATATATGCAGTCAAACTGGCCATTTGTAAAGGACATAGCCAGGTTTTTCGTGTGTGTGTCCTTTTCTGTGAAATGGACACAACTGATTTTAAAACCTGGATTTGGAGAGGTGGGGGAAGTTGAAAGTGAAAAGCACCCATTGCACAAATAACTGAATTTGTTTCATATGATCATGATGCTTTGTATCCTGCCATACCGGAAGCAGTAGGTTATATTTTATAAGCAGCCTGTCATAGTTGGGAATAGCATTACCTTTAAATGTACCCAGCTGTGATTGTTCCTGAAAAATGTGACTTGTTATAGCCCTTTACTAGGTGTATGTGAACTAAGGTCTAATAACTTTATGAATACTGCTCTACATGGGGCTACACAAGGTCTAGATTTAGAAATGTTACTTTTAAAATCATCAGTATTTTACAAGCTCAAGGGAGGGAAGATGTCTCCATGTAGTCTATAATCTGAGGTGCCTTACGAAATTGTCTTCTGTTTCCTAAATGTAGGCTCTATTGCAACAAAAAAAAAGGAAAGGAAACCATTTAATGCGAGAATGATATAAATTAAGTATTTGGAAATAAATTCTGATATGTGTATTTGTCTGCCCATGGGATCAACCATTTTATACTGGACACCTCTGCCTTTCACAGCTTTGTCTTATATAACACCCAGTCAGTCCTGGGCTCCATAACATAGCCTGAGGGGGACACTTCATAGATTTAATGTCAAGTACTTGAGTGGTGGTTAGCGAATAATAACCTGGCTTACTTTCTTTTTAATGTATTGAGTCAGAGATGAGGCTGAACAAGAACTCTGGTTCTCTACCCTCTTCCTCCTTGGAGCACTGTGCATGTTAGATGTTAGTTACCGTTCTTGGGTTTCCCTCAGGGCAGATCTGTGCCATATCTGCAATGCTCCCAAGTCTACCGTGGAGAAGCAAGCCCCACTTCCTGCTGCTGTCCAGGTGAAGCACAGTGAAAAAAATGTTGCGTTGTTACTGTTAGAACAGTGTTGGGTACACATAGCGCCACTCCCAGGAGCACATCCAAGACTGAACTCCTAAGGGTGTGATTCTGAGGGCACGAGCCAAAAAACCAGCAGGTGCTGAGTGGGAGCAAGTGGGCAGGCCTTGCTTCTCAGCAGCAGTCTCAGGACTGCTGTGCAGGTGATATAGACATGGCCCGTTGGGGCCCTAAACTGGAACACTAAGTCCTGGTGGATCTGTATTTTTAAACTTGATCCCATTCCTACAGCTCAGGGTTTTCCCCAGCATGAAATCTGATCCTTTGCAAATAGAGCAAAGGCCAGATTGACTTCCTCGTTTCACTTTGCATGTGGTGATCAGGTACACTGCCACTAGCTCTCCTTCGTTAACAATGATACCTATCATTTACAGTGTTCTTCATCTTCAAAGCTCTTTACAGATATTAACTAATAGTTGCACGATCTTGCACATGATCAAATAAGTACGATCTCTTCTGTTTCTACACTGCTTAGTTGGCAGAGAGATGAAGTTATTTGGCGTAAGAATGTGCTCTTTTACTGTTGTATATTGTGCAAGGATCCTGCATCAGGGAGTAAAATCCCAGTGCTTGGCCCTGTACTGGTGTACAATAAAAATCTAGTGTTCACCCTAAGCTGCTTGCAGTCTGAGTCAAGTGGAAGGGAAAATGAGTGGACATACTGAACAAAAGGGAAAAGCCCATGGTAAGCCAGATACATGTGCAACTTTGCAGTTAGCCTCATGTGCTACAGAAGTGAAAAGCTCTAGGGTGGGATTTGAGGACATGCTGAGCCTTGCTTTAACTCTGTTTTAGTTCCCAGTAGGCACATCTACACATGCATTTATGTTACATTAAATTTACTGGGCAGTAAGTGGAAATAGGCCAGCATCTACATGCGCAGGCATTAAAGCACATTAACGCTGTGTGTGGTCTGACTTGAGACTAAAGTTAGTCCCAAGGTCAGTCACATGCACAGTGTTACTGCGCAGTAAGTAATCGGGCATAAATTTGATACCTGCATGATGCACGACCATATGCTGGCTCAGCAATTTTAAAGAAAATCACCTTCCTGGCTCTGAACCAGTTCTGGTCAGACATGACCTGACCACTTTCAGCTACTGTCATGTCTTCACTGTGGGACAATTACTATGCTATAAGATAGTGTCTCATTCAGCTTATACACATGGTTTGTCTTGCACACTAAAAACCCTTTTCTCCAAGTGAATGAAAACTTTGGCAGCCCCTTGTCCCTGAGAAGAACCTGATCCAACAGGAAGCTCCCTTGGGTTCAGTGGTGCTGTAAGCAGCTATTCAACTGAAGTGAGGGTATTGCTGCCCAATTTTGAAGCTAGGTGCATTTGGCAAAGTAGGTTGTTACCTATGAAAGCTCATGCCTGTGACCTAGTTAGTCTCTAAGGTACCAGCCTGATTCCAAGGATAGAAGGCTTCTCCTTTTTAGTTATTCTTCCAAGTGTGCACTTAGTCAGAAAGCAGCTCTGAGACTTTTCCCCCCTCTTTTTTTCCTGCTACCCTCTCCTAGAGAGTTTTTAATAATGTTATTTTAAACCATCTATCTGTGGACAGCATGGAGTAGACCCAGCGTATTAATCTTCTATCTGCCCCGCGCCCAACTTGATTCCCCTATTTAAATAAAAATTTATAATATTAACTTTCTTCCTTTCCTGTTCCTTTTAGGATTATGATGCAAATGAAAAATGCTAAAAGGCTTGTTTACCTCAGCAAGCTGCACAGTAAAAATACAGGGGGGTTGTCTGAACTGTCAGCAATATTCCTTTCTAGCAAATACCTGCTGCTTAATTGCATGTGCCGCTGCCTGGGCCTTTGAGGAACGGGTTTCACTTAGCTTACACACATAATCAGAAACATACAAGTCTTTGAAATAAGATCAGGCCTTGTCTGTGCTGCTTCGAGTAGAGGATGCTATGCTGTAATGTTGACTCATGGGAGAGGAAACCACTGTGCTATTTGTATGTTAGTTTTCAGGGGGGGAAAGTCCACCTTATCCAAATACTAAGAATCTAAGTATTTATCTTCAAAGGATTTTGCAAATGTAAATGTTATTTGGATAAAAACAACTAGAGAGTCTCTAGCCAGTTTCCTGCTTTATGTTGCTGTTCTGGAAATGCTGCTGTCTTACATACCCAAACATCCGGAGAGTGCTAAGTGTGGATTAAATGGGTCTGACCATCCTTTGCACACAAAGATGTAACTTTGTACACAAGCTTGCTGTTGTGATCAAAAGGCCCGTTCAGATGTCTTCCCTGAAACACTGGGTGAGGTGGCAGCTGAGATTGATAAGAATACATTGAAGTCAGTCCATTGTAAACAAGGTTTTCCAGGAACACTTAAGATCTGTGCTGTGTTGTGATAGATGGAAATTCTCAAGAGGGAACTTTTTTTCTTTGATGGGCTGTGGCACCCTGGGGTGCCTTGCAATCCCTTAAGGTGCTCTGTAATATGTGCATTGTTAGGTGTTCAAACACCTACATGATTCGCAAGATAAACCCAGAGAATTTTAATAGGAATCCAGGGTGTTCAAAGCATTCTGACCTGTTGTGGTCTTTCTGAGGTCCTTGCAACAGAAGTGCTTTTTTATTTTTCCGTAGTTAGAAAATGAGTGAAAGCTAAAAGCTGGCATTCTCCCAGGAGTGCTTTGAGTCTAAAAAGTTTGAGAATCAATGACCTAAGTGCTTTAAAAGAAGATATAAATTGTCATTCTGAGGAAGAAAATATATTTTTAACCTATTTTTTTCAGTTTACTTAGTGCATTGGATAGCACCCTGCATTTGGTGCAAAGCCCATTGCAGGCATTGGCCCTGAGAACACTGGCAGCCATTGGGAACATTGGCACTGGTTTCAATGGACTTTGAGTGCAGCCGCTAGTCACAGTGAGGTCTTGTTTTACCCTGCAGACACTTTTAAATCTGAGAAGTTCTATTTAAGTACATTGGAGAACTCATGCATAAATGGTGGCATAAAAGAAGCCTCATTCAGTTTTGTGAAGAAAGGTTGGAAGGAAGAAAAATAAGAAAACCAGAAAAATTGAAAAGAGAGATGGGGGGGCAGAATGCCAGATACTCTTGCCTTTTTTCAAAAATCTGGACTAGATTTCAAGGTGATAGCAAGCCCATAAAAACTAGTAAGGTCAACTTAGTTTTAGCAAACCATATTATTGGCAGCTAGTGAAAAGCATGTAGGCATAATAATGATTATGGTTGTTCATTACCCATTTAGTTCAGTTCCCAGTGGTATAAACTGAGCAAAGACAGTTGTCTAATTTAATGGATTTTACCATCTGATGCAGAACAGTCCTCAGTACTAATGATGTCTTTCTCCAGTGTGTTTTAATGGGAGAAACAAATCAATACAGTGCGTTACAAAGGCATAAAGCCCTAACCTGGATTTTCTTAATTTTTTTTATTCAACACAGAAAATATTTCTAAGGAGTGAGAGAAATACCAGGCAGTCTGCCTGGCTTTCAAAAGACAACATCAATTTCACTGTCCACTTTTACAACCTGTTCTTCTTCACATACCTGCACATGATCAATAAAACAGGTGCAGGTAGGAATCCTTGCAACAATGCCTAGCCCTTCGTCTGTTTTTTAGCACTTTTAACCCAAATGAACATACCAGATGCTTTGGGCTTGACGATGATCTCACATATTCCAAAGTAAAAATGAGTGATTCTATTGACGTCTGCAGAGTTGCACTGAAGTGGTAACCCTTTAGTTGTCTTGTTAAACCCTTTTGCCACAGTCTCAGACACTTATCTTACAGTGAAAACAGAACAGGATTACATAGCTTTGTTTTTTCCTAATAGCTTCATTCCTCAGGATGCATGTTGACTCTTTCCTGTTCCTCAAGCCTTTTATGCTACTTGGGGTGATCAGTATCTAGCCTGTCTTCCTATCCAACCATCACCCATAGATCTTTCCTGGCAAATTCTCCTGCAAATTGTGTAACTAATTTACACAAAGGATGCATCTCCCATGCAGGGGCATGCTTTTGCAGTGGCAAAAATACTAGCAGCACAAATTTGTGCCTCTACTTTTTGCCACTGCATGCCTCGGCACGTGTATTGTGGTGTGGGGCAAAATACCCTGCTTTGTGGAAACTGCTGTTTCCCCACTTCTCCTGGCTCCCATGTGCTGGAGGACCAAGCCTCTATATGTGCTGGTGCATGCTCCTGTGGCATGCGTTGTGCCTAGAGATGACCCTAGCAGGGTGTGGGTCCCAGAGCAAATCAGCCTGTGTGGGGTCCCCTTTCCCATCCCACGGCACACTAACATTGGTAAATGAACATCACGGCACAACGGACACAGGGGGAGTGTTGGTAGCTGGAATTTCTGGTCTGAACAGAGTTAAAGAAACTTCCAACCCATGGGACGTGCGGGCAGACCGCACAGCAATCGCGGCAGCCACTGCAAAACATGGGAGGAGCCATGGCCTCTCCACTCCGCTCTGTGAGGCTCCCCAAAGCATGGGGCCCGGGGCAGTTGTCCCAATTCGCACCCCCTAGGGATGGCTCTGCCACTTTTTTCACAGCATTTCCTTTTTTTGGTACTGGGATTTCCCAGTAGCAAATTTTGCTCCCTTGCTGCAAATTTGCAGTATGGGGCACATTTTAACATTCCTACACATCTGGATCCAGCCAAAGGAGCTAATTTACTGGTAAGTATCTGCCTCAGACAAATCCCTTGGTACTGCTTGGCTAAGGAAAGGAACAAGCCCTCAGCAAAAGTAATTCCAACCTATGCCTCTCCGAATGAAGTTGTGCACAAGAATTTTTAAAATTTGCATTCCCAGGTCAACCAAAACATCTGCTTAAATCTCCAGATTTGGTCTTCAAATAAACTTACCATCTTCAATTACCCCCATTTTAAAAAACCTTTATTCCCTGATGATCATCATGGCCGCATCCACACAAGTACACATATGAATTTTGTGGCACTTCCAGCAATTTGAGGCACCACAAACTGATGCAAATGGCACACAGGCTCCTATTTGCTGTGTTGCTAATTTGCAGCACGGTGGGTTTTTTTGACATCGAAAGATCCTTTTTTGACATCAAAAGATTTTTGGTGTAAAACAAAACACTGCTGAAAAAAGTGGCATGGCGAACATGGCAGCAGGGTACACTGCCAGAAAGGGACCTGGCTGGACCCCAATTAAGGCTGCTGCATAGGTGCTGATCCCATCCTCCCCTACCCCACCCAGCTCACTTTGCCCCATGCTGCAGCAGGTGTGCAGGGGCATAAATATGTGCTGCTGCTATTTGTCCTGCAGGAAATGGATGCCCCTGCATGTGCACGCTTGTCAGGACGTGCCCAATGTGTCTATTTAAAACTGTTAAATGGGCGGGATATGCAAAGATTGCCTGTGTTTGCTTTGGTCCTGATGGGTATCTGTACTTTGAAAATTCAGCAGGGGTACAAAAACAAAAAACAAAACAAAAAACTCCAAAAAACAAAACTGACAGCATTTCTTTCACTTCAGTCCTTATTGTAGTTCTCCACTGAAGGAAGCCTTAATAACATTTATGTTACACAGTGGCTGAAATAAATGAACTCTTAATCTTCCTAAGTCATCTTTTATTTCCAAAGGTTTTTTTTTCTTCTGAGATGCTGCTTATTGTACAATGTATTTTTTATTTCAAATGGCATTTTGTCCAAAGTTCTAGCTTTTAGCATTTTGATGCTGCCTGCATCACTTCTGTGTATCTTTGAGGTTTGCTCTGGCCAGGCTCTATTTTAATTATGACCCCAGCTTGTTGCCTTATTCTTCATCTTTGAGAATAGCTATCTTCTCTCCCCCTCCCCAGTCCATAACGTTCATCCTAGTAAGTAAAAAAAAAAATGCATCTGGATGTACGTGGCCAAGCAGTGACTAACAATTGGCTCATGACAGCAGAAGGGTGAAGTCAGCATGCTTGTTACAGTTGAACAAGCATATGATAAGAAGGCACTACCAAATCCCTATACATAGAGCAATCCTTGAAATCATGGGGAGGGTCTACTGTATCTACTCTCATTCAGATAAGACCCTGGCCACTTTCAAAGGACTTTGAAGTACCTTCTGACAATCCCCTTTAGAAGATAATAGATTACAAAGAGAGGAAGGAGGGCATTTTCCTGAGAATAGTTACAGCAGCCCACATGTTTATGTAGTTTGTGTAGCTATAGCTGATAGCCAGAGATGAGGCCAAACATGGGGCAGTGACCCAAAATAAGATTAATGCAGAAAACTTAGCATCCTATGGACCTCTTCTTATTGTAATTAGCATTTTTGCATACTAGCAGTTCCCTGATTCTGCATTTGTTAAAGTAACTTTTATTAAGAGCACACCTCTGAGAACAACCTGATCCATGAGGAACTAGTATAAAAGTGACCCTAAACTGGAAGTTAATTGAGAGGCTGACATACAACAAAGGAAGAAAGCTAGTCCTGTAGCAGACCCAGGGCTAGAAGTCATAAGGTCTGGGGTTTTTTCCTACCTCTCCCACTAGCTTTCTGTGCGACTTCAGGGAAACAAAATAATTGCTCCACCAGCCTGTTTCCTCCTTTGTAGAACAGTGATGAGAATAGGAGTCCTCTGAGGCTAAACTTTTTTGGGCCAAGAAGTGAAGTGACTAATGCTGTTGGAGGTCTCTGTGTTTCAGGGCACTGAAGTGCCTGCTCCCTTAAGAGCAGGAAACTGTCTAGGGAGAGGGCCCTAAGAGCCAGACAGAAACCCCACAGGTGCCAGTTACTATGGCAGCAGGCTAACAAGGGAATTAGCCTGCACCTGCATCTGGTCAGCTGACCAGAAGAAGGCATGGCTTTGGGCGCATATAAACTCCAGAGCTGAGACCAGTAAGAGTTAGCTCTCTGGCAGCAGCCAGAGGAAGGAGCCTCTAGAGAAGAATTGTCTAGAGATGCTGGTGGCCACCTGATATGTTGCATATAGGCCTAATGGGGCTCCAGGAGCTCACCAGGTACCCTGGTCTATAAGGCACTTAGTGCTGGGGGGTGGAGTTTGACTCTTGTAAAGGGACAGAGCACATCCTGAACTGCTTCTATTATGTTATAGACTAGGGGCTCATATTTTGGTTGCTGTTTATAAATCGGTGGACCAGAATGAGGCTACTGGGGGAGGAGGAGGCCTCATTGGGGGCCCACTACAGTGTGGAGACCCCAGTGCCAGGGGCTCCGTGACAAAGGGGTGAGCAGACCCTAGTGCCAGGGGGTGCAGTGACAATGTGTGAATGCTATCTGCAAGGCTTGGGGCATGGTGAAAGGATGGTTTTGGAGTCATGCATCTAGCCCATAAGGCTGGGGGTATCCTGTGAGGCATCCATTGTGAGCAGGACCCAAGAAAGGGGTCCAAGAACCCACCAGGTTCAGCGAGGTCCATCAGGACCGTGTCCAAACAAACTTGAGGGCAGCCTCCCTATTTATTATAATTACTAGCAAGACATGGCAGAAGAGGAAACAGGTGCCCATTTGCCAAGACTGGCACGGTCACGGAGTCCTAGGGGTGTCACGGTCATCCCTAGGGACCCCATCCCGTGATGGTCTGTTTTGGGGTTCTTAGTCTGAGAGACCAGATTAGTCTGAGAGGTCCGAGTATTACAAAGTGCTGAGCATTTGCCTCCTGCAACCAGCCCTCTAAGGCTTTTGAAGTGGGACTTCCCAAATCAGTAGTCCCTTTTGAAAACTTGGTTTTAGCATTTTAGGGGATGGATGTACAAACAAGTTACAAGCAGGCAGGCTTTTTTGGTCTACCAGGTGCTTCATGGCAACTGTCTGTTACATGCTCCTACCTCCATTGGTGAGTAGAAGCTAAACTATGATGACTTGCCTCTCTTTCACTGAGGGCTTAATTATCAAGGTTTGGTTCCTGTTGGGTAGAAACATGCACACGAGCAATTGCTGCAGAGCAGGTGATGCATAAGAAAGGCTTGACCCTTTTTCCCTAATGTAAATTGTTCATTATGTCCAGCCCCCTAGAATGTTTTGGGCATGTCTAGTAGAAGATGCATAGTATAATTGTTACCAAAAGTGCCTTAAAATAGATGCCATGTCAGTATTTTAAATGTGTTGGAGAACTGCTTTTGAATGGGTAAACCTGGATTTTGCACAACATGCATCATTTATAAAAAAACAGGCAATGTGAACAGATTTTCTTACAGATTTCCATAATGGAAAATTCTGCTGCCAGTTGCACTCACGTGATGCACAGATTGCAAGGGGATCATGCAAAGGTGAACCTGCCCTGGAATTTTAAAAAAGTCCCAAGCATTTTGAACTGTTATGATCCAAGTCTTTCAACAACAAACATCTGTTAGTGCTTGCCTTCAGGCAATTGAGACATTTCATATACTACCAGTATTTCTCTGAGAGAGAAAAAAGAATCTTTATCTTCCAGGTTACCTTAACTGGAAATGGGTGTAATAATAGTCCTTATGCAGGTGAAATGGTCTTTATACAGGTAAAACTCCCAGTGATTATCATGGAAGATATTTCTGGTGACTGGGAGATGAGGTCAATAATATTGATTTAAAAATTCTATAGTTCAGCATCAAAGACACAATTTTTGAACTTAACATCTTTGACAGTGGGGATATCAGAAATAACTGCAATTTCTTAAAAATAAGACATGGATAAGAAACATGTGGCAGTTTGGATAATAGAAGGGTGTCTTGGTAATTGTACAAGCATAAGCAAATTGTGATTTGCAGCTTGGCATTAACTCCAGATCTTCAAAGTTCTTCACCAGAAAGTTTAGTTGAAAGAGTCTGTAAAATCCCTTTAAAATGCTAGAGACCAGTCACACTGATGACTGGGAAGTGCAAAACTTTCATGTGTTGATTGGATCTAACATGCCAGGAAATGGCTGCAGGTACCGAGAGGTCTGCAGCAGTTCAGAGGGCATGACAACGCTGCAGCAGCTTTTATATGATCCTATGCAACAACTCGGCATACAGCTGAGAGCTTTACAGTCCCCAAGGCTTGGAATTTGACACATGTTTCCATAGTAGCCTGTTCTAACATGTGTACATTGTTAGTGGACTGAATCCTGTGTACCTTACTCTGTCAAAACACCCATTGAAGCTAATAAAGACCTAATGAGTATCCCTTTGTTAGAGAGAGTAAGTTCATAATGTATTATTTGAAAGAAATGAGCAAACCTTACAGGCTTTCCCCTGTACTTCCTATTTAGAACTCTTGCTTTCTACAAGTCCATTCATAGCATCTGAGAATATAGGCTGTTGCCTGTGAAGGTTTATGCCTCTCTCAACTAGTTGGTCTCTAAGGCCATGTCCAGGCGATTGCGCACATGCCTGTTGCAGCGTTTCAAAGCAGTTTGAGACACTGCAAGAGGCACGCCGGGAATGGAGGAAAAAAAAAAAAAAAAAAGTTCTCTGTGCTGCATACTTGCAGTGTAGACTCTCTGTTTTGTTTTTTTTAACCAGGTATCAAAATTAAAAAAAAACAAAACAAAAAAACCCAAACATGCCGGGGAAAAAGCAGTGCAGGCAACTGGAGGCTGGGTCCTCCAGAGAGACACTCTAGAATGTGGCCAGAGCATCTCTTTCATAGGTGACATGTAAAGGGGGTACAGGAAGGCATATCCCCCCGCCCATCCCCCAAGATTGGCCACCGCTGGTTTCCGTGGGCAGCTGTGGCCCCCTTGCTGCCTATGTAGTTGCTAGTGGCTGTGGGCAGTCCCAGCTCCCCCCCTGCCACTTGCCACCCTGCCTCTGCTGCCTACACCACTGGGGCTGCCTGCAGGAGGTCCCTGCTTAGTCCACCCTTGCCGCCGATGTCACTGCGGCTACCTGCGGGTGGTCTCCGCTTGCTACCAACACCGCCACCTGTGGGAGGTTGCTGTGCCCCCCCAACCTCTGGGAGCACATGTCATTCATGTTCTCTATGGCTGTTGTGTGCCCCTGCTGCTCCAGCATGCTGCCTAAGCATGCTGGAGCAAATAGGAGTGAGGCAAGGCTGGTAGCAGTGGCCTGGACCCAGGCTCTGTTCCAGGTAAGTAGGGACCTGGGTGTGGGGGGGGCTTTGGGTGTGTGGGGGACTGCTTGGGAGGGGTGGGTCCCTCACCCCTCTGTACAGTGCACAGCCCCTGCAGCAGCCATTGGGGCACTCTGCTGCCTGAGACATGGGGGTTGCATATGGCGCATGGTGCTGGCTCAGCCTGCTGGCATGCACCCTCAAGCAGAGCCAGGCTGGTTCTTGCTGTCACCCGTGCTCCTGGTTCTGCACACAGGGGCCATGTGCTATCAGGCTGGGCTGGGTCCTGCCTCCATGGAGCTTGTCTGGTTTGACAGCACACATGGTACATGGAGTCTGGACTTGGCCTGGCTCATTCTGATAGCACGCAGTCCCTGTGTGCAGTGCCGGGAGCCTGGATGGCCACGAGCCAGCCTGGTTCTGTTCAAGGGCCACCACCACGTGCCATGTGGCAGCCCCCACATCTCGTGCTCATGGCCTGCCACTACCCCCCAATGGCTCCTGCTGCTGCTGCAGGGAGGCTGTGTACCATGCAGGTGGGGGAGCAGACAGGAAACCCATCCCTCCCAAGCAG